TCCAACAAATGCGAGTGGAATAATTGTTTTACCTAAAAAAAAAAAAAAGAACAGCATGAAATACCATGACATATCAGTACACATTGCTAAATGGCAATTTTTTTTTAAACTTTGTCCGGATTCTCGTTGTTCTTAGTCAATTAGTTTGCTAGTTTACAGGTATCCCATAACGCAGCCTAAGGTTATATAGCGTATATTTCGCTTTAAAAATTGTTGTTTCGACTACTATTTTGAGGTGAAATGTTTCACACCATTTCCAGTCGAGAAAGATTTTTCAAAACCACCGAGAGATTGTAGGCCAGTAACGTATCACAGATGTATTTGAAACGGGTGTGAATGGCAGGATGGGTTTTCACGGAGCGTCTAATTCGTTGAAAATTTCACGTGAATGATGATGCAAGTTTTAAAAGCATTTACATCACCAATTTGCAGGTGAAACAAGTTTTGTTTTGTATGTGATAACTGGAGAAAGCATGGGTGTATTTTATTATTACTATTTTTGTCTCTATTTGTGGTGTAGATTGCAGAGATTTCAAACGTAAAACAACCTTGTAATTTACACAGCGTAACTAAACGATAAAGTAGCTGATATAGAAAATAGGCAAGGGTTAATATTGAGGAATGTCTCGACGAAGAACAAGATCAGTGTACTCAGAAAGAATGCTACGACTCCCATCTTAAAGGAGCCACGTCACGGTTTGCGAATCTTGAAAAGTTAAGCCTAAATTTTTCAAGTTCGTTGTTTGTAATCCGAGTTAATCTTCTCCATCCTTAACCATCCTTGTTTCTTTCTGGGTTATTATTATCTTTTTGGCGTTTTTCTATCTTAGTAAACTATTAGTCGCCGGTTTCCTTCAATTTAAAGGTAATTTTATACATGGAGAAAATAACTCAAAATAACGTGACTGCTTCTTTAAGGTTGGATAGCGAGGAAGTTTGTCTCCACTTAAGGACGACAACTTGTACTCTGAACAGCTCCACTGAGCATGTTTTAGTGGAAACGCGTTTTGAAGGTTAAAAGCCTAGATTTAAGGGGCGTGTGGTCGGGTGGGGGTCACATTTTGTCCTTGAGCCCTCTCCAAACGGGAAATGTCTGGCGATAAAACACGACCAAACATTGTTTGGTGACCAAACATTTTCCCGTTTGGACACCTTGTTTGATCATGTTTGATCGTGTTTGATAAAATTTGAACTACAACAAACATTTGATCAAACATTGTAAAACATTTTGCTCGTCTGGACGGTGATCAAACATAATTGATAGCGTGTGGCCACTCAGTACAACATCAACATGTTTGGTCACAAAACAATGTTTGATCGTGTTCTGTTGTCAAACATTTCCGGTTTAATTTGGAGAGGGCTTTAGGGATGCGTCCCTTAGTGATCGACTGGATCAGTAACTGGGATTATTGCGAATCCAAGGAGCTGATGAACCCACTCTGGGTAAGGGCTCGTCGGTTCCTTTGTTGCACCTTGATCCGAGTGATCATGGATCGCTGATCCTGGTCCTGATCACCCCAAAGGAATGCACCCTTAATCTTGGGGTCACTGCGCAAACGCCCTAGCCTGTTAGCCCCTGGTTAACAGCTTTACCATTTTGTGTGATTTAAATTTATAGTTGTTATTGTTTAATTTCTCAGGGGATTAAAATAAAAGTCTGCAAAATGTAGCATATTTGTTTTCTTTTGTTGTTTGCTTCATTTTACTTAGCCAGTAAAATAAGGTAGTTTTTGTTTATGACCAAAGATCATCTTATTAAAATAATGTGAGTAGTCATACGGGAAGTCCTCCGCAGGGT